AGCCTGACTTTCTCTTGGCCCTTGGATATTTGCAGGTTCACTATGACTTTGCTGTGGCTTTGGGGATCAAGTCCAGGGTCTTGCACATACTAAGCAGGTGTTCTACCACTGAGCCACATCCTCAGCTCTGGGAATTTCTTGAATGTAGACATTAATGTCTGATTAGATGCGGCAGACTCCATGCCATCATCCCTTCCAATGCTTCCTCTGTACCATTGTCCAGCTTTCCTCCTAACAGAAAGCGGTTGGTATGCACAGAGATCTTGCTGTGTGATTTGCCTCCTACCTTCTCTTCTCTGTGTGTCACAACTCTCTCGCCTTGTGCTGTGTTTTCCACAACACCAACTGTGCTGTCTTACAGATTACCCACATCTGCCGGCAAATCTTCCAACACACTGGTTAAATCTGCTGGTGGTGAAGCCTGCTTAATTCTAGATACTGTAGTTTTAAGTTTGAGAATTTCTCTTAAAGTTCTGAGTTCCCTGGTGACATTTTTAAAGGCTTGTCTCATAAGCACAGTGACCAGGATCTATACCTGTTGCTTATTCCGTCCTTTCTGAGAGCTCCTGGTCCTCTTGGTCTGCTCTGGTCTCTTGAATTATATGCTGGGCATTACTTAGTTATATTTGTTTTGAGATGGGACTCTTAATATATTGCCCACATTGCCTGTGAATGGCCCCAAAGTGACCTTCTCATCCTAAACTCCCAATTGCCGGGACTAAGGATGACAAACAGAAAAATTGTACCACTGTGCCTGGCTGGCACTGCTTTGAGATGTGCTTACGGGCGTAAACTGAGGGTAGCACATGGCACATCTTCTTCCAGAGGAATCTGTTTGTGACATTGTCACTAGTCTGAACCCTCTTAGCCTGAACTCAAGACCTTAGTCTCTGCAGACCATATCCCATATAGTGGGTATATGTCTGAGTTGGGGATTTGTGCTGGGATTATTAGTATGGACTACTGTATCTAGCCATCAGGATCTTTTTGTTTTGTTTTTTGGTTTTGGTCTTTAAATTTTTTTATATATTTATTTATTTTTCATGTGTATGAGTATTATGTCTGCATATAATTTTTAAATATTTTATTATTATTTTTTTATGTGTATGTGTGCAATTGCCTGCATGTAGGTAAGTGTACTCATGTCGTGCAATGCCTGCGGAGGACAGAAGAGACTGTTGGATCCCCTGGAACTGGAGTTACATACAGTTGTTAGCTGTCATGTGGGTGCTGGGATTCAAACCCGGGTCTTCTGCAAGAACAGTGTTCTTATCTGCTGAGCCATCTTTCCAACCCATGTCTGCATATATTTAAGTGCACCTGTGTCGTGTAGAGCCCACAGAGGACAGAAGAAGGCATTAGATGCCCTGGAACTGGAGTTACAGACACTTGTTATCTGCTACATGGGTGCTGGGAATTGAATCTGGGTCTTCTGCAAGAGCAGTCAGTGCTTTTAACCACTGAACCATCTCTTCAGTCCTGTTTTTGGTGGGTTTTTTTTTTTTTTTCTTTTGGTCTTTTTGAGACAGGGTTTCCCTGTAGTCCCAGCTGGCCTGGAACTTGCTATGTAGACCAGGCCGGACTTGATCTCACAGAGATCTGCGAGCCTCTGCCTACTGAGTGCTGGGACTAAAAATGTGTGCTACTGTACCTGGCCTCAGGATTTTGTTTTTAAGGTGTGTGTGTGTGGGGTCCCCTCCAGTTTCCCACCTTTGGTGGATCCCAGATAGTCTAACGTCTGAGAAGCCCCACCTTCCTCTATGCCTACAGCCATTGTAGTTAAAGTGGCTGCAAAAATGGCTTGGGGCAGGTCCCTGGGCTGCATAGAAGCAGGGTCCTTTCTGACTCCCAAGCATCTCAGCCATGATCTGGGCTGTCACTCATGTGTCTTGATGCCAAAAAGAAGAGAGAGGAGAAAGGGGCCCTGCCACACATGCTGTGAGCCTCCAGATCCCTGTGCCTGGATCCTCTGAGAAACTTGCTTTGGGGAGCAACCAACAGGTACACAATATGGACTGCTACGCCCTCTCCCACTCTGCGCCGGACTCACCATCCTCCTTTAAGACACACAGCATGCTGCTCCTTGGCTAACTGAGGACACTTCACGCCCCTTTGTTAACATATTCAGAAGCCATTTGGCACAGTCAGCAGAGGTTGACTGTTAGCAAGCAAGCACTGCCCATTCGGCTTGAGTGTCTCTTGGGATCCCACATTTCCTAGCCCAGAATGGCCAGTGATACCCTTGCAGTGTCAGACACGGCTGGCTGGCTGAGGATGCAGGTTGGTATTGATGTTTTCAAGTTCCCAGCCAGTCATGGGGGCTTTCAACCTCCCAGGACTCAAGCCATCTTTTGTCAAGCCAGAATAGTAATCCTTGAACCCTCTCTGGCTGGCCAAGATGGAGGAAGGTGCTGTGGCCCAGGTCACTCACAGCTAACCTCTTTGGACAGAATATGAGCAAGCTATACCCTGGGGATTAGAAGGCTCACCAAGATGGCTGGACCAGAACCACTGGTAAGGTAGGAAGTCTGCTGGGTTGTTCTGCTGTGTCTGTGGCTTTGACCTGAGGATGATGGAGTCTGAGCACTGCACGGGAACGGCAAGCGACAAGCCAAAGTCTCGAGAGAAATGTGCTCTATGCCTCTGTAAGCTCTAGTGTGTGACAGGAATTCCCACTTCCCCTCTCTTTTCCCAATCCTATGGGCCTGTCCTGTGGGAGCCCCAGCAGGGACCTAAGAGCCTCCACAGCCCCCACCTTTGTGGACAGAGGATCCAAGCACAGGGCCCTGGGAGCTCACAGCATGTGTGGCAGAGTCCCTGTCCTCCCTTCTCTCTGGCTGCTTTGTTCTGAGCACATTCTTGGTTCTGTGGAATTGCCTGGCAGCACAAGGTAGAAAAAGGCCAGATGGGGGACAAGAGAAAGAAACTCTGGGGCCCAGGGTATGTGGGGAAATAAAGAGGCCTAGGCTTGATTCCAGCCTGAGGGGTGCCCATACTGAAATCTCCCCACAGCATGATAAAAAACTTCAAAAGAAAACCAGTACTCAGACTCCCACCATGGTAGGCGAATGTCACTAGTGGCCCAAACCTAACCAGGACAAGGGCCAGCAGGATAAAAGGTCAAAATGAACAGGACCCAGCAGGCTATAAAAATATACAAGACATAGCTGGGTGTGGTGGCACACGCCTTTAATCCCAGCATTTGGGAGGCAGAGGCAGGTGGATCTCTGTGAGTTCAAGCCTAGCCTTGAACTACATAGTAAGTTCCAGGACAGCTGGGGCTACAGGGAGATCCTGTCTCAAAAAGACCAAAAAGAAGAAAACATACAAGATACTCAATAAAAAAGTAGCTCAATATTCCAAATGCTGGAACGGGTGAATCTGGAGACGAAGGCAATTGACAAATGGCAGCAGCAGTGGCCCAAGTGCTAGAATTGTCAGGAGAAAGCCCAAAATAGCATGTGCTGGTTTAATACTCAGCACCACCAAAACCAGGACCCAAAGAAACAAACAAGCAAGCAAACAAACTATTATATTTATAGATGTGCTAAATTTATTTATTCTTATTTTATGTGTACCAGTGTTTGCCTCCTTATATGTAAGTGCACCATGTACATGCAATGCCCACAGAGGCCAGAAGAGGGCATCAGATTCCCTAGAACTGGAGTTACAGACAGTTGTAAGCCACCATGTGGGTGCTGGGAACTGAATGTGGATTCTTTGCAAGAGCAGCTACCAGGCTTAACCACTGACCCACCTCTATAGCCCTTTAAAAAAATTTCTTTGTCTTTTTGAAACAGGGTCTCCCTGTAGCCCCCGCTGGCTTGGAACTCACTATGTAGACATGTCTGGTCTTGATCTCACAGACAACCATCTGCCTCTGCCTCCTGAGTGCTGGGACTAAAGAAGTGCACCACTATGTCTGTGGCGTCCAGCTTTTTTTCTAAGTTCTTACTCCTTGTCTCTTTCCCGGAAATGCCCTTCGCTACCTTGGGACTCTGCCAGGAAGAAAGCTGTGGCCAGAGGAAGATGTTGGCCTTGTATCGTCTGAACCCCGAGACAAAATAAAACATTTTCTTTGTAAAACAAAACCCCCAAACATTCAAGATTCAAGGATTGTAGTCATAAACACTTAATGGTTGGCACCTATGAGGACAGAGGTTAGCCAGTCTCCACAAGACTGAAATCCAGCTGGTAGTCAGCTTCAGCACAGCAGCGAGAGGACCACTAAAGCTGGGGACAGAAGCCCAAATGCTGCCACTAAACTGAGGACTATAGTTAGTGGGAGATGAGTCCAAACAGAAGCAGGAAGGTATTTAGTATCAAAAGAAACGTATAAACCTCAAACAAACAAACAAACAACAAACCCAAAAACCTGTAAGTGCTAAGATACTTCAGTGAGATGTGAAGGAAGGAGAAAAAAATTGCAAATACAGAGGAGAAACCAAGACGTCATGTAATCATGTAAGAACGTTCCATAAAATTACCATGCTGAAAGCCACCACCAGGCAGAATGGGCACACCTGCAATGCCAGTAATGGGTACGCCAAGGCAGGATGATCACGTAAGTTCCAGAGCAGCCTGGGCTACACAATGAGTGAAGTCCAAGGCTGTTGGGACACAGTGTGACAGCTTGTCAGAAAGACCCTTTTCTTAAAAATACCCCTCCCATAAATGTGAAAAGAATATCACCAGGAGAAGGGAAAAGACAAAACACAAAATGGGAAAGGATACATGGGAAAAAAGTGGACGCAAGCGGACCAGGAGTGTTGAAAGGCAGAGAATGAACTAAATGTTCAATTTTAATAATGTGGAAAACGGGATAAATACTGAAGCAGGAGGAAAATGAAACTGAGATGACCGGGCCAATCTTCCAGAGAGCTGGAGAAGGTGACAGAGTCACATTGAGCCCTTAGAGACAGAGAGAAACAACAGCCCGGTTTCAGGGTCCACAGTAGCTCGCTCTAGCAGCTGCAGGTAAGTGAGGTTCTCGTGGGTGTTGGGGTCAAAGAAGCCCTTGGTGTCATCCCCTGGGTCGGACAGCACCTGATTCATCTCCTCATCGAAGTAGCCGCGCTGGTAGGCCACGTCCACGGGCACGCGGTGGCTGTGCACCGGGTCGATGACCCCACCTGTCGCGATCTGGGCCTCCAGCAGGCGGATGCCGTGGTCCCTGACGATGAGGTCCCTCTGCATGGCCTGGAAGAGGGAGATCTGCTCCCCAGAGTAGGGGTCCCTGTAGCCGGTGACGGCTCGCTCGGCGGACAGCAGCTTCTCTTGGATCTCTCCACCCACTATGCCGGCGGCCACGGCCTCCTCCACGGAGAGTCTGCGATTGTGCACCGGGTCGATGACGAAGCCAGTGGCTGCCTGGGCCTCCAGCAGCACCAACGCTGTGCCCGGCCGCAGCACACCCTTCCACATGGCCTGGTAGATGCTCATCTTCTCCTGCCGGCCCGGCTCTCCCTGAACCGGCACCAGGACGCCCGCAATGCAGCTGGTGCCCTCCAGGTAACGCTTGACGGAGTCCATCTCTGTCACCTCCTGCAGGGTCTTCGTTCCCTGCGCCAGTTCCCGCAGGGTCTCGGGGTCCAAGATCCCAGATGTGCGCAGCTCGGACGCAGACACCTGGTGCCTAAGGCCGGGGAAAGACACTTTGCTGAGCCGCTCCTCCGTTTCCTCGATGACTTGGGTGAGGATGGTGACAAGGTCCTGCAGCCCCAGGGTGCCGGCCAAGTGCTGGGCAAGGAGCTCCTCTCGGCGGGCCTCACTGAGGTACGAAGAGAAGAGGACCGTCCACACCGAAACAGGCTGGCCCCGGAACTGCCCAGAGCTCACCTGCATGGTACCTTCGCGCAGAGCGTGCTCCTGCTGCTGTCTGGCAGCCTCCGGTGCGTCGGCGTCCTTGGCCAAGCGGGTAGAGGCTCCCGAGTCTCCGGCTCCGGTCTCCTGCTGGCTAAGCGAGGTACTGCTGGTCACCTTGCGCTTGGGGCCCTGGGTCTCCTCGGCTTCCTCGATGATGGTAGTAAGCTCGCGGGTCAGCTTGGGCAGGGTCAGCGTCCCAGAGCCGAACTGGGCCAGCAGCTCCTCCCGGGTGTCTCCCCTCACGTAGCTGGAAGTCAGAACGTCCCACACCGGCACCGCGTGGCCCTGGAGAGGGCCGACCTTGACTTCCATGGTGGCCTTACGCAGGGCGCCCCGGGGATCCACGCTTGGGCCTCCATCCTCAGCCCGGGCCAGCAGAGAGATGAGGGTGGAGCTCACGTCCTGCACCGTCAGCCCTCCTGCCTGGTACCGGCGCAGCAGGTCCTGGCGCACACCCTCCGGCACCTCTCGGTAGAAGAGGAGCTCCCAGACAGAGATGCTCTGGCCCTGGAAGTCACCGGAGCCCGGGGTCACACGGGCCTCACGAAGGGCCCGGCGCAGCTCCTCGCTCAGGTGGTGCACAGTGGAGCCCTTGCCCGCCAGCTGCAGCATGTAGAGTCCGGTCTCTGGGTCACGCACACAGCGGCGCAGCAGCTGCAGGTAAGTGAGGTTCTCGTGGGTGTTGGGGTCAAAGAAGCCCTTGGTGTCATCCCCTGGGTCGGACAGCACCTGATTCATCTCCTCATCGAAGTAGCCGCGCTGGTAGGCCACGTCCACGGGCACGCGGTGGCTGTGCACCGGGTCGATGACCCCACCTGTCGCGATCTGGGCCTCCAGCAGGCGGATGCCGTGGTCCCTGACGATGAGGTCCCTCTGCATGGCCTGGAAGAGGGAGATCTGCTCCCCAGAGTAGGGGTCCCTGTAGCCGGTGACGGCTCGCTCGGCGGACAGCAGCTTCTCTTGGATCTCTCCACCCACTATGCCGGCGGCCACGGCCTCCTCCACGGAGAGTCTGCGATTGTGCACCGGGTCGATGACGAAGCCAGTGGCTGCCTGGGCCTCCAGCAGCACCAACGCTGTGCCCGGCCGCAGCACACCCTTCCACATGGCCTGGTAGATGCTCATCTTCTCCTGCCGGCCCGGCTCTCCCTGAACCGGCACCAGGACGCCCGCAATGCAGCTGGTGCCCTCCAGGTAACGCTTGACGGAGTCCATCTCTGTCACCTCCTGCAGGGTCTTCGTTCCCTGCGCCAGTTCCCGCAGGGTCTCGGGGTCCAAGATCCCAGATGTGCGCAGCTCGGACGCAGACACCTGGTGCCTAAGGCCGGGGAAAGACACTTTGCTGAGCCGCTCCTCCGTTTCCTCGATGACTTGGGTGAGGATGGTGACAAGGTCCTGCAGCCCCAGGGTGCCGGCCAAGTGCTGGGCAAGGAGCTCCTCTCGGCGGGCCTCACTGAGGTACGAAGAGAAGAGGACCGTCCACACCGAAACAGGCTGGCCCCGGAACTGCCCAGAGCTCACCTGCATGGTACCTTCGCGCAGAGCGTGCTCCTGCTGCTGTCTGGCAGCCTCCGGTGCGTCGGCGTCCTTGGCCAAGCGGGTAGAGGCTCCCGAGTCTCCGGCTCCGGTCTCCTGCTGGCTAAGCGAGGTACTGCTGGTCACCTTGCGCTTGGGGCCCTGGGTCTCCTCGGCTTCCTCGATGATGGTAGTAAGCTCGCGGGTCAGCTTGGGCAGGGTCAGCGTCCCAGAGCCGAACTGGGCCAGCAGCTCCTCCCGGGTGTCTCCCCTCACGTAGCTGGAAGTCAGAACGTCCCACACCGGCACCGCGTGGCCCTGGAGAGGGCCGACCTTGACTTCCATGGTGGCCTTACGCAGGGCGCCCCGGGGATCCACGCTTGGGCCTCCATCCTCAGCCCGGGCCAGCAGAGAGATGAGGGTGGAGCTCACGTCCTGCACCGTCAGCCCTCCTGCCTGGTACCGGCGCAGCAGGTCCTGGCGCACACCCTCCGGCACCTCTCGGTAGAAGAGGAGCTCCCAGACAGAGATGCTCTGGCCCTGGAAGTCACCGGAGCCCGGGGTCACACGGGCCTCACGAAGGGCCCGGCGCAGCTCCTCGCTCAGGTGGTGCACAGTGGAGCCCTTGCCCGCCAGCTGCAGCATGTAGAGTCCGGTCTCTGGGTCACGCACACAGCGGCGCAGCAGCTGCAGGTAAGTGAGGTTCTCGTGGGTGTTGGGGTCAAAGAAGCCCTTGGTGTCATCCCCTGGGTCGGACAGCACCTGATTCATCTCCTCATCGAAGTAGCCGCGCTGGTAGGCCACGTCCACGGGCACGCGGTGGCTGTGCACCGGGTCGATGACCCCACCTGTCGCGATCTGGGCCTCCAGCAGGCGGATGCCGTGGTCCCTGACGATGAGGTCCCTCTGCATGGCCTGGAAGAGGGAGATCTGCTCCCCAGAGTAGGGGTCCCTGTAGCCGGTGACGGCTCGCTCGGCGGACAGCAGCTTCTCTTGGATCTCTCCACCCACTATGCCGGCGGCCACGGCCTCCTCCACGGAGAGTCTGCGATTGTGCACCGGGTCGATGACGAAGCCAGTGGCTGCCTGGGCCTCCAGCAGCACCAACGCTGTGCCCGGCCGCAGCACACCCTTCCACATGGCCTGGTAGATGCTCATCTTCTCCTGCCGGCCCGGCTCTCCCTGAACCGGCACCAGGACGCCCGCAATGCAGCTGGTGCCCTCCAGGTAACGCTTGACGGAGTCCATCTCTGTCACCTCCTGCAGGGTCTTCGTTCCCTGCGCCAGTTCCCGCAGGGTCTCGGGGTCCAAGATCCCAGATGTGCGCAGCTCGGACGCAGACACCTGGTGCCTAAGGCCGGGGAAAGACACTTTGCTGAGCCGCTCCTCCGTTTCCTCGATGACTTGGGTGAGGATGGTGACAAGGTCCTGCAGCCCCAGGGTGCCGGCCAAGTGCTGGGCAAGGAGCTCCTCTCGGCGGGCCTCACTGAGGTACGAAGAGAAGAGGACCGTCCACACCGAAACAGGCTGGCCCCGGAACTGCCCAGAGCTCACCTGCATGGTACCTTCGCGCAGAGCGTGCTCCTGCTGCTGTCTGGCAGCCTCCGGTGCGTCGGCGTCCTTGGCCAAGCGGGTAGAGGCTCCCGAGTCTCCGGCTCCGGTCTCCTGCTGGCTAAGCGAGGTACTGCTGGTCACCTTGCGCTTGGGGCCCTGGGTCTCCTCGGCTTCCTCGATGATGGTAGTAAGCTCGCGGGTCAGCTTGGGCAGGGTCAGCGTCCCAGAGCCGAACTGGGCCAGCAGCTCCTCCCGGGTGTCTCCCCTCACGTAGCTGGAAGTCAGAACGTCCCACACCGGCACCGCGTGGCCCTGGAGAGGGCCGACCTTGACTTCCATGGTGGCCTTACGCAGGGCGCCCCGGGGATCCACGCTTGGGCCTCCATCCTCAGCCCGGGCCAGCAGAGAGATGAGGGTGGAGCTCACGTCCTGCACCGTCAGCCCTCCTGCCTGGTACCGGCGCAGCAGGTCCTGGCGCACACCCTCCGGCACCTCTCGGTAGAAGAGGAGCTCCCAGACAGAGATGCTCTGGCCCTGGAAGTCACCGGAGCCCGGGGTCACACGGGCCTCACGAAGGGCCCGGCGCAGCTCCTCGCTCAGGTGGTGCACAGTGGAGCCCTTGCCCGCCAGCTGCAGCATGTAGAGTCCGGTCTCTGGGTCACGCACACAGCGGCGCAGCAGCTGCAGGTAAGTGAGGTTCTCGTGGGTGTTGGGGTCAAAGAAGCCCTTGGTGTCATCCCCTGGGTCGGACAGCACCTGATTCATCTCCTCATCGAAGTAGCCGCGCTGGTAGGCCACGTCCACGGGCACGCGGTGGCTGTGCACCGGGTCGATGACCCCACCTGTCGCGATCTGGGCCTCCAGCAGGCGGATGCCGTGGTCCCTGACGATGAGGTCCCTCTGCATGGCCTGGAAGAGGGAGATCTGCTCCCCAGAGTAGGGGTCCCTGTAGCCGGTGACGGCTCGCTCGGCGGACAGCAGCTTCTCTTGGATCTCTCCACCCACTATGCCGGCGGCCACGGCCTCCTCCACGGAGAGTCTGCGATTGTGCACCGGGTCGATGACGAAGCCAGTGGCTGCCTGGGCCTCCAGCAGCACCAACGCTGTGCCCGGCCGCAGCACACCCTTCCACATGGCCTGGTAGATGCTCATCTTCTCCTGCCGGCCCGGCTCTCCCTGAACCGGCACCAGGACGCCCGCAATGCAGCTGGTGCCCTCCAGGAAACGCTTCACTTCTTCATTTCTTTCAATTTGTTCTACTGTGGTCCTGCCCTCCTCCAGGTCCTGCAGAGTCTGTCTTGAGATGACGGTTGATCTAAGAAGTTCCTGTGCTGTGACCTGGTTTCGAATTCCTTGGAACCAGAGTTGCTTTCTGCCCGCCTCCTTTTCTGAAATCATCTGTAGAATAACTTTTATGACTTTCTGCAGTGCCTGAGCTGTGTCACGTTTATATATCCTCACCAATTCAAGTTTCTTCTCCTCTGTCATGTACTCTGAGTTCAGCAGCTCCCACACAGATCGCCTTTGGCCTTTGTACTGCCCTACAGTCACTTCCACCTGTTCTGCCTCCAGGGCCCTTCTGGTGGCCTCATCAACATACTCAGAGTCCTCGTCGTCCTTGACCACTGGGAACAGAGCCCAGCCTGACTGCCCCTCCCTCTGGCACCTCTCCTGCAACTCCTGATATGTGACCTTCTCCTGTGTGTTGGGATCCACAAACCTTTTCCTCATGTGCTTCTGGTCAGCAATGAGTGGCACAATGTCTTCATGCAGACAGCCACGCCTGCAGGCTGTTTCCAGAGGGACACGATGGTGGTGTAGTGGGTCAATGACTCCCCCTGTGGCCACCTGCACTTCCAGCAACCTCAGTGCCTCCTCCCTCTTAACCATCTTCTTCTCCATGGCCTGGAACAGTGGGATAGTCCCCCCTGTGGCTGGGTCTTCGTAGCCCTTCGCTGCCTTTTCTGCGTTCTCTAGTCTTTCCCGCAGGTCTCCACTCACCAGGCCAGTTGCTAGGGCCTCGTCCACACACAGCTTCCGGTGGGTATGGGGGTCCATTAGGAATCCAGTGGCTGCCTGTGCTTCCAGCAGCTGAGCGGCAAATCCTGCAGGGATGATCTCTTCCCTACTGGCCTCGTTGAAGCTCATGACCTCCTGGGTGAGGGGTGCGGTCACTCCAGCAATGCAGCCTGTGCCTTCCAGGTAGACGCTCACACGCTCCAGCTGGCAGAGGTCTTGGCACCTCTTCGTCCCAGTGTGAAGCGAGTCCAGAGTCTTTTTATCAAGGATCCCAGAGTTGAACAGTTCTGAAGCTGTCACGTCTCCATGGATGGCTGGCACCTTGATGGCTTGGTTTTGCTTCTCTGTTTCTTCCACAGTGGTTGTGGCAATCTCCAGCAGCTTCTCCAGGTCCATGTTCTGGGTTCTGTACTCTCTCACGAGCTCTCTCTTCCTTCCCTCTGTAAAGTACTGAGAAGACAGCAGGTCCCACAAAGACACTGTCTGGCCGGCAAAGCTCCCCACATCCATCTTCACAGTTCTGGATCGCAGAGCTTGCCTCATGGCTTCATCAATGAATGTGTACGTGTCTCCTTTTTTGACAATTTCTAACATGTACAAGCCCGTCTCCGGGTCCTCCACGCAGCGCTCCAGCAGCTGCAGGTAGGTGAGGTTCTCATGCGTGTTGGGATCGAAGAAGCCCTTGGTGTCATCACTTGGGTCAGCCAAGATGCGGTTCATCTCCTCATCGAAGTAGCCACGCTGGTAGGCCACATCCACCGGCACACGGTGGCTGTGCACAGGGTCTATGATGCCGCCCGTAGCGATCTGGGCCTCCAGCAGGCGGATGCCGTGGTCCCTGACTATGAGGCCCTTCTTCATGGCCTGGAAGAGGGAGATCTGCTCCCCAGTGTAGGGGTCTGTATAGCCAGTGACAGCACGCTCAGCTGACAACAGCTTCACATAGGTTTCCTTGCTGAACATCCCTGTCTGGAATGCCTGTTCCACGGTCAGCTTCCGGTTTTCCACAGGGTCAATGATGAAGCCGGTGGCTGCCTGTGCCTCCAGCAGCACCAGAGCTGTGCCTGGCCTGAGAATGTGCCTCCTCAAGGCCTCTGGGATGCTCATCTTCTCCTTGGTACCCTGAATGAGGACCCCAGCAATGAAATTGCCTCCTTCCAGGGACCGCCTCACACTGTCCATCTCTGTCACCTCCTGCACTGTCTTCTTTCCCTGATTTAGCTCATCCAGTGTCTGCTTGTTGATCAGCTGGGACCTAAACAAATCCCTGGCCGATACCTGCTTCCGGAGCCCTTTGAAGGTGGCCTGTGAAGGCTGCTTCTCTGCAGCTTCCACCAGGGTGGTGACCATACTGACCACTTGCCGCAGGGCTGCAGCTCGTCCAGAGCAACAGAGTGCCACCAGCTCCTGCCGTTTTTCAGCACCAACATACTCAGAATGTAGCAAGTCCCAGAGTGACACACTGTGTCCTTGGAACCTACCCATGCTGATGGGCACCTTCATGGCCCTCAGTGCCACTGCAGTGTGGTCGTCCACCTCAAGCATGGTATCCTGGGCCAGTGGCAGCAGCAACAGGCCAGTGTCAGCATCCAGCACGCAGAGCTTCCTAAGCTGCTGGTATGTCACCTTATCATGGGAATTGGGGTCAAAGAAGAACTTGTTTTCTTCCTTAGTGGCAGTCAGTGCCTGGTTCGTCTGCTCATCTAGGAGGCCAAGCTTGCAGGCCACTGTCTGGGGCAGGTGCACCCCATGGACAGGGTCTACAATACCCCCCGTGGCCAGCTGTACTTGCAGGAGAGGGAAACCCTCACTTTGGGGTACAAGCCCCTTCTCCATGGCCTGCCACAGAGAGAGGGAGCCCCCTGAGTAGGGATCTGAGTACCCTGTCACAGCCCTTTCTACCTGTCTGAGCTGCTCACTCAGCTCTCTGCCCACCAGGCCGGCCTTCACTGCACCTTCCACTGATAGTTTCTGATTGGTCAGTGGGTTAACAAGGGAGCCGGATGCCACCTGGGCGTCCAGCAGCTGCTGACCCATGCCCATGGGCAGGAGGCCATCTTTTATGGCCTGGGCAATGCTCAGCTTGGTCCCTGAGGGTTGCAGCAGCACACCGGCCACACAGCCTGTGCCCCAGAAGCAGGCCTTTACAGTGGGCTGCTCAGCTACCTCAGCAGGTGATTTTACACCCTGTAGCAGTGCTTCCAGTGTCTCTTGGGTGATGATGCCAGCATCTCGTAGCCAAATGGCAGGGACCTCACCCCGTGGGCCTGGCACAGAGATGCGGGCCCGGGCCAAGAGCTTTGCTTTGTGCACCCAGCTGCACACGGTGTCCTGAAGTTGTGGCACAGAGGTCTTCCCCATCCGCAGGTCTTCCAGGAAGCCCCTGCGCTGCTCCTCAGTAAAGTGGCACGAGGTGAGCGAGTCCCAGAGGGACACACCATCCTCGGTGCCTGGCGATGCTTGCAGTATATCCTGGATCTGTGCGTCAGTGAGGACAGCAGGAGTATCTTCTGTCAGGGGCAGTAGGTGAAGCCCAGAGGCTTCGTCCTGGGGACACCGCTCCAGGAGCTGAGCATAGCTGATGTGTCCCCGGCCATCAGGTGTGGGAAAGGTTTCAGGAGAGCTGGACAAGGCCACCTCCATCTCTTGGTCAATACAACCTCGCTGGACTGCCACAGGCATGGGAAGGTGGAGGCGACCTGTGGGATCAATGACCCCTCCTGTGGACACTTGAGCTTCCAACAGGCGGGTGGCCTGCTCCACAGGGATGAGGCCCTTCTTCATGGCCCTGAATAGGGATACCTTCTTTCCAGAAAAGGGGTCTCTGAAGCCAGTGACAGCACGCTCTGCCCGCTTCAGCCTGCCATATACCTCTGGTCCAACCACTCCCCTGCACACAGCCTCGTCTACTGACAGAGTCTCCAGACTGCAGGGGTCTTTGATGGCTCCAGTAGCTGCCTGGGCCTCCAGCAGGGCCAGGGCCACGCCAGGTGCCAGTAGCTTCTGCTTCATGGCCTGGTAGAGACTGAGCCGCTGGTTGGAGGGCTGTAGTAGCACACCACCCACAGAGCCCGAGCCCTGCAGGTACCTGCGTACACCATCCATGCGAAGGAGGGCATCAGGGCTGATTGTCCCTGCCAACAGCTGGTCTAGGAGTTCCTGGTTGATGATGTGGGCCTCTAGGAGCTGGTAGGCAGTGACCTGGCCCTGCAGTGCAGGTAGTGTGATGCCTGCCCACTTCTTCGTCTCTTTTTCCAGCAGCTGAGTGACCCACTCCAACGTGACCTTGCGCTGTCGGTAACGCTGCAGTAGCTGCCTCCTCCAGGTCTCGCTGAAGTATTCTGAGTTGATCAGCTCCCATGCGGAGACCCTCTGCCCCTGGAACCGCCCATATTGCACAGAAAGCAGTAGATTCTGGAAGGTCTGCCGAGTGGTGCCATCCACCAGCTGGGGCCATGAATTATTGAGTGGCAGGAGATACAGGCCTGTCTGAGGGTCACAGACACAGCGCTCCAGCAGCTGCATATAGGTGAGGTTCTCATGTGTGTTGGGGTCAAAGAAGCCCTTGGTGTCATCAGAGGGGTCCAACAGGATTGCATTCAGCATCTGGTCAAAGTAGCCACGCTGGTATGCCACATCCACAGGCACACGGTGGCTGTGTACGGGGTCAATGATGCCCCCTGTTGCGATCTGGGCCTCTAGTAGGCGAATGCCATGGTCTCTGACAATGAGATCCCTCTGCATGGCCTGGAAGAGTGAGATCTGTTCCCCAGAGTAGGGGTCCTTATAGCCGGTGACGGCACGCTCTGCAGACAGCAGTTTTGCATACACATCAGGCCCGATGACGCCAGCCCTGAGCGCCTCCTCCACAGAGTATCTCTTGTTCTCTTTTGGGTTGATGATGAAGCCTGTGGCAGCCTGAGCCTCCAGTAGGATCAGAGCGGTACCAGGTCTGAGGAGCCCCTTGCTTCGAGCCTCATAGATACTGAGGTGCTCCTGGGAGTCAGGCAGCAAGAGGCCTGCGATGCAGCCCGTGCCCTGCAGGTACCTCTGCACTGAGTCCAGGCTGCCCACATCCTCGGCTGAGGTCTGTCCACGTTCCAACTGCTCAAATAGCTCCTTGTTGATAATCTCAGCCTTTAACAGTTCTCCTGGTGTTACAGTGTCCCTCAGCCCAGCAAAGGTAACTTTGGCAGTGGCTGCAGCCTGCTCAACAGTGGCTTTTAACTCAGCTGCCAGCTCCTCCACTGACAGGACCCCTCTCTGGTGCTGTTGGACCAGCACTACCCTCTGCTTCACGGGCACCATCTCAGAGAAGAGCAGTTCCCAGAGGGATACAGGTCGGCCCTGGAACCTCCCCAAGGAGATGGAGGTTGTGGCCTCGCTCAGGGCCTGCCGAGTGCAATGATCAATAAATGTGGGTCCCTGGGGCTCTTCCGCATGGGGCTCCCCAGGGAGAGGCAGGAAGGCAAGCCCTGTCTCTGGGTCAGTGACAGAACAACCCAGTAACTTCTCATAGTGCAGGCCATGATGTGTGATAGGGTCTGAGAAGCCTGTTGCCTGAGATAGATATTGCTGAGTCTCTTCATCCAGGCAGCCAAAGCGCAGGGCGGCCTCCAAAGGCAACCGGAATCTGCGGTCTGGGCAAATAAGCCCGCCGGTGGCCATCTGGGCATCCAGGAGGCGCAGAGCCAGTGGTCGGTCTACAAGCTCCTTCTTCATGGCCTGGAAGAGGGGGATGCGGGAGCTGCTGAAGGGGTCATGATACCCTGTCACTGCCTGCTCCGCAACCAGGAGTTGCTCGTAGAGTTCTGGGCCAACCAGGCCTGCCCTGACTGCCTCTTCCACCCACAGCCGCTGGCCTGTGGCTGGGTTCACCAGAGTGCGCGTGGCAGCCTGAGCCTCTAAGAGCTGCAGTGCAGTGCTCTTTGGGAGTAAGTGTTCAACTGTGGCCTGGAAGAAGCTCTTCTTGTGGCCTTCAGGCAACAGGACAACCCCTGCCAAGCCTCCAGTGCCCTCCAGATAGCGCTGTACCTCAGGGCGTGAGCTCACATCTGACACCACCAGTGTGCCCTTCTGCAGGCCGCAGACTGCTTCCTCATCCACAACTCCTGCCTCCAGAAGCTCTGCTGCACTGGCTGCCCCACCCAGGGTGCGGAAGGTGGTCTTCAAGGGTAGCAGGGCCAGCCCTGAGCTGGGGTCCTGCACACATCTGTCCAGCAGCATGCGGTAAGGCAGCCGCTCCAGCGTATTGGGGTCGAGGAAACTTGGAGCATCCGTACTGGGCTCTGATTCCACCAGACTAAGCCAGGTCTCCTGGTCCAAGAGGCCCTGCTGGCAGGCTATCTCTGGGGCCACTCGCACACCCTGGGTTGGATCCACCAGGCCGCCAGTGGCTAGCTGGGCCTCCAGCCAGTTCCACCCTAGGGTCTTGTCCACAACCTCCTTCCTGATGGCCTGGAAGAGGGCCAGCTTTCCACCCCCATAGGGGTCAGGATAGCCAGTAACTGCTCGCTCAGCAGCCAGCAACTTCTCCTTCAGCTCCAGCCCCACCAGACCCTGCTTTAGGGCCTCAGACACAGGGAGCAATTGGCCCTGGGTGAGGTCCATGAGGCCCCCAGTGGCTGCCTGGGCCTCAAGTAAAGCCAACCCGAGCCCAGTGGGCAGGAGGCCCTGCTTCATGGCGGCATAGAGGCTCTGGGTCTGACCCGAGGCCTCCACATACACCCCAGCAATACTTCTGGCTGTGGTGAGTGGGGCAGCCTCTGCTTGGGGCCTAGAAGGGGTGCCAGCTCTCAACTTGTGCTTCATAACTTTAGGAATGATGACCTGCTCAGTGCCATTGTTATCCAGGACATCAAGAGGAGAGGCCTGACCATTCATTGCACACAACTGGTTATGCAGAACTTGCCTGAGGTCCACTTGTTTCCTATAGGGGACAGAAAGGCTCAGTTAGGGACCCTGAATGGCTGGGCTGGTGGGAAAGATGTGGTCATGAGGTCAGATGTAGACTCTTTGAAGTTGGGTGAGTCCTGGATCCACCTCCAGATGCCAGGAAAGGAATACCCCTGACTGGTGGCTTATGGTAGCTGAGGGCCCTCTAATGGCATGAGCCAACCCTACCAGGGGGCCCTTCCCTGATCTCTGAGACCCTTCAAGAAGGGAGAGAGAAGCTGCCACCCAACAAGCTTCGAAGATGCAAGGGACAGTGTGGGTACAGTGTTGAGATCAGGCTGTGGCCTGCTCTAAGTTACTCATAATTGCACAAAACAGTTTTCTAGGCTGTGTTTTGTCCTAGGAGACTCCATTTTATAAGAGCCTTTGACTCCATTTTGAAGGAGGATGACTGAAGCCCCCGGGTAGACCCAGACACTATACCATCTGTTAGGTACCACACACTCAGCAAAGACTGATAAATGACTCATTTATCAGTAAAAAGGGAGATATCCTAAAAATTTATTGGTGAGAACTGAGACTGTAGGGGCACATGCGCATATTATAATCATTTCAGGGAAATAAGGCCTAAGAACTTATCAGAAACAGCAGTCTGAGGAAAGGGTGTCTTTCCCTCACCTGGGCTCTGTGACAACATGGCCCTCACAACCCATCATCTGATAATCTGGTGTCTGCATCAAGGACTGAGAAACAGAAGACTCCTCAACTGTCTCTGGAACTTCAGCTTGGCTTGGCAGGGGACTATTACTGCCTGCCCATTTACCTCTTCACTTGTCTGGACCTGAAACCGAACTCATCATTTCCTACTCTTAGACCCCAGTTTAGCTTGTCATGGTGCAGATGAACCCTGTAACTTCACTGTCACACCCTGACGCTAGCAACTCCAGCACAGCTCCCTCCTGGTACTGCTCTGCTTTGTTACCAACACAAACTCTCAGAACTCTGAGAACTCTTTGAACTCTGCTGCAGCCCTTTAACTTGCATTCATTCTGTAAACCACATACATACATATAGATATATAGACATATTTACTGTGTTGCTGTTTGGTATGAGAGTTAGCATTAGTGATTAAGACCTGAGTGAAGGATCCTGCATTCATTTTGGCCAGATTACCAGGGCAGGTGGGATCATCTGGCAAATCGATACCATTGAAACTGCTGGACCTTGTGAATTTATTGTCATTCAATAAACTCTGACATTGTGGAAAGACACAAACATGTTCATCTACATTTCTGGCATAGTGTGCTTTCGACGCAGAGACCCAAGGCCAGCTAGGAGCCACCTCTCAGGACTCCCCATGGATCACATCTGGCCTCTATCCCAGGCCTCCAGGATCCTAGTGCAGGGGTCTAGGATCTTCATGGACACCCCTGCCCCAGCCCTGGCCTATACTCATAGAATCAGGAGCTGTGTGTTGGACCTTCACCCCTGACTTTCCTGGGCCATCTGGCTCTAGGCCCCCAGCCTCTGCCAAGACTTGTTTCCTCTTCTGAGCTGGTCTGAATTGATTGGCCCAAAAGACAACTCAAAGTCCTAACCTGCAGAACATGGCTCTGACCTTATTTGGAAGTAGGATCTCTGTGGATGTAACAGATGACATCATCCTGGAGCCCTGCTGGCCCAAATCCAGTGCACCTGGCACTCTTAGAAGATGATAGATTTACTCAGAGAAGACAGCCACCCTGTAAACTGAGCCTATAACTCTGTGTCCTCTCTTGGTCCACAGCTTCAGCATTGCTGGAACCTTCCGAACTCTGCTCCCTCACATGGAGTTTTAGAGGTGCTGTCCCACCCTTCCCCAACACTCAAGTCTTTGGAACTTAACAAGCATACTTTGGACCTGACTTTCGGGGACAGACCCCTCTCAGTGATAGTATTCTGCTCTGTCCCCATGTGTCCAATGAATCGAGAGCTCCTTAGCCTGTCCCCAGATCTCCATATCTGCAGCCAGCTGGCCCTGAAGTCCCGAACACAGGTCATCTTATGGCTTTGCACACAAGCCCCCCACCACCCCTGCAACACATACTCTGCCCTCGAAGGTGCTTTAAGGGGCATAGTGCATTTTGGCTGCCTACTAGAGTACCTCACTCCTGCCCAAGTCCTCATGGCTCTGTGATGGCACCTCAAAGTTCATCCTGTCACCTCACAACTGGCCTCTCTGCTCCTGTGGCCCAGGCTTCTGTACCGTGTACATAAGAGCTCTCCCTGGCCATCTCCACACACCCTTAAGGTTCCTTCCAGTGTCCACATCACATGTGGGATGTGGGGGCAGGTAAACAGCAGGGCAGCATGACCAAGGCTGGTACATAGGCCACCCTGTGGATGGTAAGGTCAGGCTTTGATATCACATGACCTGGTGTGAAAGTCGCTGTCCAGTTCAGGGGGGCTGTGAGCAGATAGTCCCACCTACTCTCCTTCAGAAATTGCCTCACCTAAGAACCAATGATAGGTTCTGTCCCTTGACACGGGGATAGGAGTGGAGGGGTGGGGTGGAGAAGGGAAGGGATGGGAGGGGAGACTCTTAGGGCCATCAGGTCATGTCCTTCGGGACCACTACTGAGATGGCATCCCAGCTACAACCTTGGCACAAGCCCACCCTCCCTTCCCTTCCACAGATGCTGGCCCTCAGCCTTCTGAAGCATCCTGCCAAACCTGCTGGTCAAGGTCTCAGACATCATGGAGGCATCAAGTAGATGCCAGGACAGGGCTAGCAGTGTCCAGCACCACTAGTAGCAAAGAAGGCAGAGCCCAGGCTAGCAGCAGAAGGGCTACCATGCAGCTTTCCAGGAGCAGGGTAAGTGTTTTGGGGTGCAACATGGGGTGCAGTGTGAACATGAAAAGGAAGCATAATGGTGGGAAAGAGATCACTAAAGGGTTGGAGTGACCAGCTGGACAGCTGTGGGGCAAGAGAGGCGTAGGTGTCCCCAATGTGAGGGGCCCAGACAGAAGGGTGGACCTCAATGGGGCAGGCCCAGGTGGGACTGAGCAGGGCTCCAGTTCAGGGCAGAAATTTTATCCTCCTGTCCCCTGCAGCCCAGCCTAGGGCGCCTCTGGAGCCCATAGAAGCTGTGCCCCTCCAACATTGTGCAGCCCAGTCTTTTGTTTTTTGGCAGTGAACTTGTGGTATAGACTGACCCCAGGGCTTTCAGCCTAGTCCTGACTCACACATTGTGATGGAAATGGTGGAGACCTCCCCAACAAGAGAGTCCAGGTGCTGAGAACCACCTGTTAAAGGGGCAGCCAAGGGGACCTGGCCACATCGAGTTCCAGAAACAGTAGAGCAGGAATCCCCAGAGGAGGTGGAAGTGCTATTAATGGGTGCCCTGTTTGAACAAGAGCTAGACAGGACCTCAGGGAAGAAGGACCTGACCATTCCACCCCTCAGCAGGGACAGCCTAACCCTTCTGGAGGAGAACTCTGGCCAGCTACTCAGTGACCATGTCCTCACAGAGTGACCGGACCCTACAGGAACACCTGCCTGAGAGTTACTGGGGCCCTCTGTCATCTCTGTGGGGCCACAAGGCTATTCAAGAGCTGTCTTATGTCTTTGGGGAGAAAAACTAAGGAGTGCCTTGGCCTCAGAGGATGAGATATCCAGTAGGGGAAGGCCAGGAGGTCAATGAAAATGCCCATGGGCCTCTGGGGATGTGCCACTGCCCCACCGTAGCTGCGGGTAGATAGGTTATAGAAACAGCTGCTGACGGCACAGCTTAGACTTCAGCTCCCAGTTGATACCAGCAGGCTGGGGACCTTCCCCAGGAGGCAGAAGTTCTACTCTAAAACATGACTTTCCCACATTACTGAATCCCAGGAGGGCCACACAAGCCCAGGAACCAAGGCCTGGTATCCAGTATCTCTGTATTCCACCGAGGGAGTGAATTTCAAGGTCCCTAGAGGCAGAACCACTTGAGGGGACAGCCCTGACTGCCAGGGGGAGGGGCCACTGCGCAGTGGACACGTGCGTGGGCCCTGGCCACCATGTGGCAGCCAACAGTAAATGGAAGTACACAGAGAGAAGCTCTTCAGGAAGAGATCTAGGGCTTCCTGTCTACATGGTCACTTCATGCCCCAGTGACCCCAGCCAGCAGTAAGCAATGAGTCAAGGAGTCAGTTCTGCATGACTGGAAGAGGTAGTAGGTGCCCAGTGTAATGAGAGCCATGACAACAGGGCCAGGTGCATCCCACAGACCTCCTGGAGCATGCACCCGCTGGCCTCCTAGATGCTGATTCTGGGCACAGTGTGACAGTGGGAGACATGGGGATGACCAGACCCATCTATTTTCAGGGAGAAGTTAGACAGCATGGCAGACCAGTGTCTCCTGCCAGCTTATCTCCCCAGCCCTCCCCTCTGTGGAGGTGTCCTGGGACCACTCACCTCATTTCAGACTTTGCTTCCCAACACTGCTTGTGTACCTTTGCTGCCCCCTGCACAGCACTGAGCTGGAAGGAACCATGCATGGTGTAGCCCAGCCCCAGGCAGGGCAGAGCACAGGTGACAGACCCTGGGGCAGTCGGGGATGGGTAACTGTCCCCTGATTTATAGCTGATCTGAGGGTAGGGAACCAGGACAAGCAGTCCACTCCCCAGCAAAGGTGGGACACAGGGCCTTGGGACCACAGTAGGGAACAGGGACGGCCAGATGGGCATGGTCTTGAGTGGCCCTTGATCTGGACATGAACAGCCAGCCCTGAAAAGCTGTGTTCTGTGCAAAAGGGCAAGGCTTGGAGGAGAAGCCAACATAAGCTCAGGCAAGCAGTTCAAGTTCCCCGAACAAAGAAGAGATTCAGGGTGGGAAGTCACTGACAGAAGGTCTAGAGACTCTGGGAAGGGGGTGTGGCCAGACACTGAGTTCTGGTGTATAAGATGCAGTCTGTGGCTGACGGCCACTCCCTGTTGGCTTGTGGGTGACCTTGGGCCTGGTATGACTTTCCCTGGGCCCTGCCCCTTCCCAAGAAGATGGGAGTGTAGATACCAGGCATCAACAGCGGTTGCCTGGGAAAGCAGTCAGACACGTGGGTCACGAATTTGGGGTACTTGAGGGCCATACAGAGCTGAGGAAGGGCAGGAGACCCAGACGGTATAGTTAAAGGGAAAGGATCAGGATCCCAGGTAGGGGATAGCAGTGTAAGTATGCCAATGAAGGGGCCAGGGGAGGCAGGTGGCATACACTCCCTGGCAAAGGGAGCTAAGAAAAAGGAAACCCTTCCCACCTTCCTGGAGTTCCACCATAGGCTGCTCCTGCATGCCAACACGCAGGAGGCCATTTCTAAGTGGGGTGGGTCGGCATCTCTTGGGCGTTGGCCACCATCTGTCACCACACTGAAGGGTGGGCCTCCCCACTCCAGGCTATGACAGGGTGGGGGGCAAGGGCCTGCTGTGGACTCGCTGAGCTAGGTCAGAACAGAACCAAGAGTCTAGGCAGACTCAGCCTACACGGAGGCGGAGAACTTGGCCTCTGCCCTATTGCAGGCAACGGTAGAAAGATACCACGTACTTGTACTCTGCCCTGACAGAAGTCAACAGCTCGGTGCAAGCTTCTCATGATGGGCAAGTGGGGGCAGGGAAACAAGGACCCTCCTGCCTTTGCCTCAAGAGTCCTGTACTACCTGAGGCGGTATCCCTGTGGCTCCTCCCTGGTCAGCCTCGCCCCTCTCATTCAAGCAGGGCTGCCAGGAGCCTGTCAACTATCAACCAAATTGCCTCTGCCATAGGAGCCCTGACTCAAGCTTACACAAAAGAGTGCCACTTCCTCCAAAGGGACAAGGACAAGAAGAACCCACACACACACACACACTTGGAAGGCCACTCAGCCCACCACACATCCTGCTGGAAACCGGTAGACCCTCACCCCACAGTAGAGTGACTGTAGCCAGCCTGTGCTTCCCCACCCACACCAGAGGGCTCAGGAGCCTCCACCTCCAGCCCTGAACTCAGACTGCCCAGGTAGGTAAACCAGCCCAGAGCGCTGGGGTAGTGAGCCCCTCATATTCACCTGACGTCATGGGCCTCTGGCTCCCACGGGTGTTTCAGTTTCAATTGCCCCACCTGCCCTCACTTCCCCACCTGCTGTGACAGGGGCCAGTGCTGGGTCCACAGTCTTTCTGCTCTCTCCGCAGTGCAGTGTGCCCCCGCGCCACCAGCGTTTAAATCTGCATGGCCACTCCCTTCAGTGACCTGTCCTGCTTCCCCACTGAGGGCGGTAGGCGGAGCAGATGCCAGGTAGGGCCCCTGCTGGCAGGTGGGGCAGGCAGGTGCGCACAAACCGTGGCACTGGGTAGGGTAACGTATGAGCACCCCTTGGCTAGGAGGGGCTGCTGAGCTTCTGAGTCCCTGCCTACTCAGAGTCACTGAGAAAGAATGCCAGGCAGGCTCAGGGTGGGGGTGGAGAAGCAGCCTCTGTCTGCCTATGGCTTTTGAATGAGGTTTGCAAGGGAAATGAAGGCTGGCCAGAGTGAGGTTTTGGTTCCCCAAACTCCACTTTATTGTAACCACACCGCGCTGCAGTCTGGACCATGTCCCCCAGCTCCCACTCAGTCTCTGCTTCCAGCCCCAGGTATGCTGGCCCTTAGAGTCGTCTAGGCTGCTCCTCAGTGGGCGGCTCTGAGGCTTTGACCTTGTAGGAGCTGGGGTGTCTGCGTTCTTTGCCGGTTGGCAGCCCTGTCTGGAAGGGGTGGCCAGGCCTCACTCCACAGTCCCGTTCCTCTACCTGGGCTCAGAGAAGTTCCCTTGTCTACCTGGAGGGCTGACCCTTGGCTCAGAAGCCCATCCCAACACTCACCTTCTGAGACCGGGGTCTGTTGGAGGCCATGCGGATAGAGGCCCAGAGCCTCAGGGTGATGACCTCAGGGGCTGGCCCACTGGGAGCCCAGCACAGGAACCTCTCATGGATCTTCTGACTGGTCCTCCCCTTTGCTGCCCAGAGATCTCAGGTTGTAGGGCCAGAGTGGGCACCAAGTCTCCCCTACCACCTCTGCCCCAATGGCTTGCATGCCTCTCCTTACTCCCAGCCCTCACCTCTGCCTGGGTCATTCTTGACCAGAAACTCATCTAGAGCTGCCCAGCCACCTCCAACACGAACCATCAGAGAGCCCCGTGCTGCCTGCGGGGCACAGGGTGTCAAGTCTTCCGTGCAGGGCTTGGGGGCAGTTCCTGAGGCTCTGTCCTCCCCACTGCCACAGGCCCACACTCACACCTGCTCACCGAGGCTCCCTGGACCTTGGACCTGCCTCTGGCCCCTGGTGCACTCGTCCCTTCCATGGCCCTTGCTCTGGCCATGCTGTGTGGTTGCTGCTGGCCGTTGGTGAGCCAGGACCCCAACATGGCAGGAAACTTGTGCGCAGGCCCACATGTACCCCAGGTGCAGCTAGGCCAGCCTTGACCATCCCTTTCCTGCTCCCCAGCGGCCAGGAAGCTGTCCGTAAGATCCTGCTGGGAAGTGTTTTGGTGCTGCCTGGAGTGTGGAGCATGGAACATATCCCAGACCACTCATTCTGTGACCAAGGCAATGCAGGTAGTGACCCCACAAGATCCAGCTGTATGCTGGCCCATGGTGTGAGAAGGTGAAAGCAAGCCCCTCTCATGAGCCTGGGAATGGTGGTATGTACACCTGTCTGTCCTTTTACCTGTTCCAGGTGGCCCTGCTCCATTTGGACCCACTGGTTCTTGTCCTCCCAGTTCTTCCTACTGTTCTCAGACTTCCTGTGCCTCTGGCTCTCCATGGTGGCCTCTGCCCACCCAGGCCTCCAGCCCAGTTCTTCTGAGGTCTTCCCCAGGAGGCAAGCCTTGGCTTTACCCCCCAGATCCCCAGGCTGACTCTGGTCAGGACCCCTCAGAGCCAGTGCCTCCCCCAGGGCTGGAGTCCAGTGCTTTAACCCAGCAGCCCTAAGGGCCCTAGGAAGCTCCTCCAGCACCCAGCCCTGGGCCTGTACCACCTAAGTAGAGGAAGCAGTGTCAGGGAACTGGAGAGGGGTAGATCCCATGCCCAATCCCACCACTCCACCCATACTGCCTAAGCTCATACCCCCCTCCCAGCCGCCAGAGCCTGGCATCAGCCCAGCCTTTAGGCTGCCCAGCTCCCTCTGTTAATCAAGCGGTCTCTCAGAGCACATGGCCCAAGGGCCGAGGGTCCAGAGCACCCAAGCAGGTTGGTCACTATGCTGACCCTGGGCTGGTCCACAAAGTCGCTGTGCAGACCAGAGCCTCTGTTCATTAATCTTGCCTTGATCCCCAGGGGTTCAGCCTGGCTTACTCTGTGAGGACATGTGAGAAGCTTCTCTACAAGGTGGTCCGCAAGTGGCAGCCTTTCCTCTAGGGTGAGCATCCTAGAGAGATGGGCAAATATGAGCAGGATGGAGGGCTAGTGGGAGTCAAGTAGAGACAGCTGGGGAGTAGGCTTACCTCTCCCTGGAGGGGATGGACATGGCAGCCTGGCAGCTAAGCAGATCCATCAGCAGACCCAGGTGGCAGGTACCCCCATAGGCAGTCTCTCCTTTCAGGACTGGGGCCCTCCTCAGCCATGATATTGCCAGGGTCTGCTGTCCCCACAGGAACTCCTGTCATTAGAGGAGCATGGTGTCCTGTCTGCTCTCCAGGCAGGAAAGGCTGAAGGGCCAGACCTTGTCTCCTCCATGTCCCTGACATCCCTACGCCTCATCCCTATGACCCCCCCCCCCGCCCACCGATCAGTGAGTGGGACTGCACATGCTGGCCCAGTCCTTCCTACCCTGGTCTCCTCAGTGAGAGGAAGAGGACAACCATGCCCAGCATTGGGCCCATGCTCAGGGCCAAGGGGAGGAAAGCCAGTAGGGTACTCTGTGTGGGGTGAGTTGCGACCCCCTCCCCAGATGCCCATGTTGAAGCCCCAGCTTCTAGTCCCCTCAGAGTGTGCCTTTACTTAGAAAGGGGCAGTTGCAGATCTAACTATATGATGGAATGTGGACACCAATGTGACCTGTGCCCTTAGGAAGGGGGAAATTGCCAGGCGTGGTGTCACACACCTTTAATCCCAGCAATCGGGAGGCAGAGGCAGATCTCTGTGAGTTCAAGGCCAGCCTGGTCTCCATTAGCAAATCCAGGCTAGCTGCAGCTACAGGGAGACCTTGTCTCAAAAAGACCAAAAAATAAACGAAAGAAGGGGTAAATTTGGGGACCTGGGAGATGTGGCTCACTGATAAAATGTTTGCTGCACAGTCATGAGGACCTAAGTTCAATCTCCAGCACTCAGTTAAAAAAAAAAGTCCAATGTGTCATGCCTGTAATGCCTATAATCTTAGCACTGGGGAGGCGGAGATAGGAGGGTTCTGATGCTCACTAGCCAGATACCCGAGCCAAATGCGTGGGCTCCAGGTTCAATAAGTGATTCTGTCTCAGAAAATAAGGTAAAGGGCTGGAGAGATGGCTCAGTGGCTAACAGTATTTGCTGCTGTTGCAGAGGACCGAAGTTTAGTTACCAGCACCTGCATTAGACAGTTCACACCATCTGTAACTCCAGCTCCAGGGGATTTAACACCTTCTGGCCTCTGTAGGCATTCACACACATGGGTGCATACACATACACATACACACAAAGTAAAAATGAATCTTTAAAAAATATATAAGGTAAGAGCTAGAGAGATGACTCAGCATCTAAGAGCACTGGCTACTCTTGCAGAAGACCAGAGTTCAATTCCCAGCACCCACATGGTGGCTAATAACCATCTATAACTTTAGTTCTGGGGGGATCTGATGCCCTCTTCTGACCTCCTCGAGCATTGCATGGCACAGGTGCACTTACATGCAGGCAATATGCTCATATACATAAAAATAAATAAATAAGTATAAATAAATAAATAAATAAATAAAGTAGAGAGTGATTGAAGACACTGGATGTCAACTTCTGGCCTCCACACACTTGTGCACACACAAACATGGGCACACAAAAAGTGGGTGATGGGATTTGGACATAGACTGCACAGAGGACACAAGTAGACAATACTGTCTACATGACAATGAAAAAGGGGTCAGACCCTTCTCTGTGGCTCTTGGGAGCTAGCCCTATACACATTTACTCCAAGCTTTCAGCTTCCAGAGCTTCCGGTCAACTGTGTGACCATAGTTTTAACCTCCCAAGCAGGGGTAGCTGGTTACAACCCGGAAGACCAAGAGAGAGTGTCAAGGGTGAGAAGGAAACCCAAGAGCAAGCAAAGGAGTCTAGAACTTCTGAAGAGGAGGCAAACCTCAAGAAAGCTTCACGCATGCCCAGCTGCTCCCATTTTGCAGGAAAAGGGGCCAAGCCAAGGCAGAGCCCAGGCTTGCCTCAAGTACACCAACTGCTGGGCTGTTGCAGCCTATAGTTCAAAAGTAAATTTCTATCTTGCTTCTAACATATATTTTCTTTCCAGCTGATGCATAAATGGGTCGTTTCTGGCAATGCTGTGACCTCAGTGAGGAATTCTGCTCGCTAGAAAAGGTATTGCAGGTGCTTGGGCCCTTCCCACCCCACACAGCCTAGAGGCTGGACACTGTTGTCCACAGAAGAGCTGCCCTGATCTCCATCTTTGACCCCACTTGGAGAGTGGTGGATGTATTTTAGGAACTTGAGGTTGTCAGAAGCAGGGAGCTGAGCATGAAGTCATCACTGGAAACCCCTTAGCTGGCTCTGTCTGCTGCCCTCACTTTCCTTCCCTGGAGCCATGCTTTCTTAATTTCCAGCATCCTCTGCCTCAGCCCACCTACCAGCAAACAGCAGCTCAGCCCCAGAGTCCCCGAGTTTTCCAGCCTTTCTGTGGACATTTCTCCTCCCAAGGAACTCTGGGTGACACCACCCCCCTCCCCAGTCCTTCAAGACACCTGCAAGGCTGGGTTCCAATTCCCTTCAGGCCACAGCTCCTCGTGGATGGCCACGTGCTCTGCCAGGCCACACCAGATCCACTCAGTTGACTCCCATGTGCTCTTCAGTCCAGTGTCTTGCTCTTGAGCCTCTGACCAGTGAACCTCCAGGGACTTCACCTCTGCCTGAGGCACAGCTGGGAAAAGATGGGTCCATCTGAGAGTCCAGGCTCGACACGACCCTCACACTCACCCTACCTGGCCTTAGCTTCCTGTGCACCTGGGCCCAATCCTACCCCTGGGCCTGACTGTTTACTGTCTTTGCTTAGCATCCCCAAGCCTCCAGGTACCCCCACTCCCAAGGCCCTGGGATACCTGATGAGAGGCTCTGTTTCCAGATGGTCACTATGGGTGCTGCTGCCTGGCTAGGAGTATCTGCCCGTGGTGCCAGCTGCTCAATCTGCCCTGCCAGCTGGGCTAGCTGTATACTCAGCTGTGTGCATGGTGGGAACCAGCATTGTCCCATACAGCCCTGGCCAGGGACAGAAAGCCCTTGGTGTGTACTCCCAGCCACCCCAGCTCCCTGGCACAGTGGGCTTCAGGCACGGGGTAGATTGGGGTCTTTCCTCCAGGAAGGGTCAAGGGGATACAGATACCTGCTTCTGGTCCTTGAGCCCCAGATGTGCTGAGACTGACTCTTCCTGGTCAAGCTGAGCCTCCAGGCCTGCTGGGGTTGAGGGCTTGGGGGGTCCTGTCCTTGGAGCATATAGCAACTTCTGCTGGGCACAAGCCACTTGGGACTCAGTCAGCCTCACACGTTCCTGGAACTGACCCAGCTGCTGCTGCACCAGTTGAGCTTGGTCTTCTGCAGCCAGACAGACAAGAGGCCAGGGAGGGAACATGGGCATTGTAGGGGAACCGCAGGATCAGTGATAGGGACGAGGGCATCAGAAGGGTCCTTAGGAGCCAACAGCTTAGATTCGGGGCCTGGGACATGGACCTGGGAAATGGCGCAGATGTCTACCCTGAGGCATATGAGGGGTTGTGGGTAGGCTTTTCTGTGGGCACCAAAATATCAGACCTGAGCACATCTTGGCTGGGCTGACTGGCCAACTGAGTGGCTGGGCTAAGGTCCACTTACCTGTGAGCAATTCTGCCAGCTTCTGGCCAGTCTCTAAAACCTCTTCCAAGTCCTCAGCACGTGCACGTGCTGCAGTCCCCTCACATGTGCACTGTGAACAAACACAAACTGCTGAGCCTGTGGCACCCCCACAAGCTCCCACTCCAAGTCTAGGCCATACCTGCAGGTACTGCAAGGATCCCTCAAGGTATCCGGGCCTCAGCTGCACCAGCAGAGCCTTGCAGGCCCGTTCAAATCTCCGTGCTGCTGGGACCAGCTGTTCCAAGAGCCCCCATCTGGGGACAAAGATGGAGGAGTGGTCAGCTGTGTCCTTCCTGCCCTTGACCCCTCCTGGCCCCCGTCAATGGCCTCACCTGGCCTCTGCCTGTTGTACCAGGCGGTGCCACTGTGTGCACAGCTCTGCTGGGCTCCCTGCCTCCTGTAGCCTCGGCTCCACGTGTGGTGCCCGCTCCCTCAGCAGGCGCAGGAGTAACTGCTGGGCATGAGGTCAAGGGGCTGGTGCAGGGTTCTGGCAGCCCCTGCCCATCCTCCTACCACTGCCCCCTTGGACTAAGGGGAGGTCACTAGCCATGGGAACATTAATAGGTGTGTCCATTCAGCTTACCCTGAGGGTCAAGTCTATTGTGATCAAGCTTGTGCTAGTGGATTGACCTGAGGCTCAGAGACAAAGTACTCCCACTGTCCCCTGGTCTTGTACCTCCTGTTCCCGCAGCTGGGAGGCAGCCAAAGCAGCGTCGGCGGCCAAGGGTCCCTGGGAGGCCTGCAGCTCCTCCATGCCATCTAGCCAGCTACACAGGCTGTCCAGGACAGCTGGGGGTGCCTGAAAGAGGGATGCACTCAACCCATTTGGCCTCTACCTGGACTCCCCACGTCCCAGAGCTGTCCTGGCTCACCTGGGCTGGCTTCCCTCCTTGCTCACAGGGCCCCACCTCTACAGCCTCTGTCACCACCGTCTCTGTCACCACCGTCTCTGTCACCTCTGTCACCTGGACAGCATGGGAGCACCACCATGCCCAGGGGATCCCTGGTGGAAGTGGGTCCTGGGGTGCTATGGATGGAGAGGCATCCCCTCGGATCCTAGGGCCTGTCCGTGAGCGGTTCCTCCTCTCCCCTAGACAGCCCAGCCTCGAAGCAGGGTTTCCCATGGTAGATGCTGTGCAGGTCAGGACACCAAGGGCAGCCCTACGGGGGCAGGAGGGCCCAAATTAGGACTAGGGGATCCACAGGCCCACCTGCCTTCACTCTTGCACAGGCTGGCTGAGGACACACCCTAGGACTTACCGTCTGGGATCTCTGCTGCTAGACACAGCCTGGGTAGAACCCCGTGGGCCTGGGGGCTGGAAAGACTCGGGTCTCACCTCTGTCCAGCTCCCTGCATCCTACTTTCCCTCTACCTGCTGCTCCACAAGCACCAGCCACCACTCCAGCCAGTCTGGCCCAGTACTTTCCTTCTTACTTGTTTCCTGGGAAACCCTCGCCCATCCTCAGCCATGTGGGTGGGGGAGGGGCCCAGGAGGGGAAGGGGCTTGGAGCTGGAGCTGCTGGCCCCTCCCCCTCACTTCTCTGTGCAGAGGGTAGGCTTCAGGGGGGCTCACTTCCCACTCAGACTCAGGACAGGCCACCCATACTGCTCTGGGGCTGAGGTCCCGTCTAAGTAGGAGGACAAAGAAGGGGCTGTTGCAAGGGGGCCAGGCCTGCCTGGGAGGTGGCTGGGAATTACAGAAGTGGGGGCGTCACACACACTTGATGGGGAGCTAGAGAGACGCAGGAATTTCCCACAGCCATACCACCCCCGCAGGAGCCCCGAACTATGCCCTCTCCCTTGCTACCTGTCCCACCTTCGGGCCACTCCTCCTGTGGGACTCAGACACATCCCCACCCCGACCCAAGAGTTCCTGGCACCTCAGACTGGTTGGCTCTGTTTCCAGTAATATCATACCTGCCACATCTTCCCACATCTGGGCTGGAATCAACTGGCCCTGCCTCTAGCCTGGAATCCATACTGGACAGAAAAGGTGGGAAGACGTGCATGCTCAGGGGTTCTCCATGGGTGCATAGTGTGGTTTGGGGCCGTGGATGCCAGCATGAACCCACCGACCCATCCTCCACCCATCTGCCCTTGATTTATCTACAAGGGAGTCGACTTTGTGTCCAGCAGACAAGCCATGATGGCCTTAGGTATTCCCTCACTGCTGACAGAGGTGACTTGGGAGTCCCTGGAACCTGAAGCAAGTCCTGCCCCGTTACCCACCCCAGCCAGTGACCCCCAGACCGGCCCCTGCCTGGGCTCATCTTTGTCATGGGTTTGTGTTGCTGTTGCCCTGGGAACTTTCCATGGAAAGTTGGGCGAGGTGGGCAGGCCAACAGGCTAGGGCAGGCCACAGACGCACTATGGGTGGATGGCTGGTGGACGCCTCTCCCGGGAGGGCTTGTCTGTCTCACACCCTAGGATGGCCCACCCTGTCCTGCCTGCTCTGTTCTCAGCCCTTACCCCAGGCCTAGCACCAAGTATGTAGATCCCTACTGGAAGCCTAAGTGGGCAGGAAGGCTGCATCCCAGCACAGGCCTGCCCATATCTGGCATGCAGATGTTGCCCCCTCCTGACTGGCCTATTTTCTTAAGGGGGACCACAGAGTTCCTGGTAACAGCTGCCCTACCTAATCTCTGGACCTTTGCCTGGACAGAATGTTTAGCCTAGAATACCCCTCTGCTTTTTGTCCAACCCAGCCTTTATGGTTAAGAAAAGAGTAGGGTGACCCTGCCCTTAATACCTGGCTCCTGGCTTGTCTTGCTGTTCTCAAGGTGGAACCAGGTCAAATTTCTGTACCAGCCTCTCTGTGGTTACCCAGGTCTGGGGAGGTTCTGAGGCCTATTGGTATAACCTCTGCCTTTCCTGCTTGCTCTGGGCTAGGGTCCTGTGCTGAGCTGACTCCACCTAGATAGTGACAGACAACCTCCCCAGCAGGTCCTCTAGCCCTGTCACCCCAACTCTGCCTTAAGAGTCCTGATGGTCATGCTCCATAGATCCTGGCAGTTAAGTGGCCACACAGCCTCTTTCCATATGTGGCTCCTCTGTCACTGCAGGTGAGTGAGGGGGTGCTCAGGAGGGAGCAGGGCTGGCCCCAGGATACCCACATATCTGTACATCTAAGAAGGGGCAGCTGGCTCGCCAGAGCCCACATCTGTGTGACTTGGAGTTTCTCCTTGGCACAGTCCCTGGACCGTCACACAGGCACTTCTCCTTGAATCTCTCTTTAAAAGCCCTCCTTTGCACATCTGAAACTGTGGTACCCAGAGGCCCCCCGACATATTCCCCACACACACAAATACTGATCTCAGCCCTTAGAGGGCCATAGCCCTGCCACTAGGGCAAGCAGTCACAAGCACAGGGACGCTCACAAGGTCTCACTGCATGCTGAGCCTTGGGGGAGGTACAGCTGGTTCCAGACTGCAGAAAGGAATGCAGGCCACAACAGGTCTGCAACGCAACCCAAACCGTTCCTGGTTGGAGTGATTCACAGGAGTAGACACTCATGGCACTTCAGACAGTGGCCACAGGTCAGCATATCAGAGGAGATGTGGATAGCCTAGCTTCCACTCACTTGTGCGACCATGGAGTCACTGAACAGCGACTGGCTTGGGGGGCCTGCTAGGTGAGGAGGCTGAGGTGGCCAGGGAGGTCAGGAGCTTGGGATAGTGGTTCAGGCATGGATGGCACAACGGCTGTCATACATGAAGCTTCTTTCTCAAGGGCTTTGAGCCCCTGGAGGAGGGAGTGGCGTGGGGAGGGTCCTAGCAGGGCTGACTGGGGCAGAGGCCTAAGGATGTATATCAAGGCAAGCAGCTTTTCTTTGCAAGATGCAAAGCTTTCCAGGAAAGAAAATATGGTAAAAGAACACTTAACAGAGCATGAGCTTTGTGATAAAAAGCCTAGAACGTTTAGGGAGCCGAGTCTAAGTGACTCACATCCAGCCTGGGCGGTGGTCAATGCCTTGGCTCATCTGGTAGGGGTTGTAGGACAAGTGACTGGCCACATGCTGTGATCCTCAGAGGGGTCAGGCAGAATCTAGGCTTTGGCCAGTTATAGAAAATTAATTCAAACAAGGTTAAAAGTTAAAAACAGGAGAGGCTGTTTAGGGTGGGCAGCCTTGAGGGGAGGAAGGGGGAGGGGAGGCACAAGTACTCAAGGGCCTTGGGTCAGCCTCCAGTCTGGTAAGTGACCCACAGGACTAGGTTGACCCATGTGTAGGACACCCATCAGCCTTTTACTCAGAAGTTTTAGAAAAATCTTGTCTCTCACTGTGACTGGGCACACCGCTGTTATAGGTTGAACTCTGTCCTGAAAGCTACGTTCAGTTCCTAAGACCTGTGAATGTGACCTTATTTGGAAATGGTGTTTTTTTGCAGATGTCATCGAGTTGAGGTCATCAGGATGGGCCCTCATCCAATGTGACTTGGTCCTCAGGAGGAAACACCATGTGAATCCAGGAGACTCAATGCAGAGAAATGGCTCAGTGTGGAAGCAGATGGGTGGCCTCGAGCAAGGTGCCTTAGGTTTGGGAGTAAGCGCCAGAGATGGGTGGGAAGGGCTCAGCCTGCTGTCCAGGGGCAACACACCCCACTTACCTTCAGTTCAGGCTGCTGGTCCCCAGAACTGAGGATGAACATTTCTGTTGCTTTGAGCCTGTCTTGGGATCCTTTGTTATGGTGACCCCCAGAACAACTTGTCTCCATAGCTGTGAGTCAGTCATGGCCAAGCAGCTGATATCCAGTTGGCCTAGTCCAAGGTAGGCTATCTGGTGTGGCATCACTGTCACCTGGTACAGCTGACCTGTGGGTTGGGGAGGGGTCCCCAGAAAAGGCAGCCAAGTGAAGACTGCTCATGGATGCAGACCCCTGGCAGGTCAGGGTTCACTCCTCTAGGCAGGAGTCTGAGGCTAGCACTCAAGCTGCCAATAGTAAGAGTTGGGACTGACACAGTGAATGTGGCTGTGATGCCTGCACCACCCGCAGTTCTGTGGCTGTAGCTTGCCTCTAAGCCCCTCTTACAAGTATCATTTTTCTAGACATCATGGCAGCCACAGTTTGAATAATCAGTGGAGTGAACCCAATGTGAGGGCCGGGTGGATCAGAGAGTGCTCTAGGTGGACCCCTACAGATGCTGTCAGGACACCACTGCAGGCTGGGGCCCTGGCTTTTCTGTTCACATCTGGTACACCTGCTCCCACAAATACCCTCACGCCCTGGGACCTGCTTGGTCTGTGAACACAGACATAACCGTGTAAGTTCCAGCCCCCTAGGGTATACATGTCCTAGTCTGTTTCTTCATTGCTGTGACAAAACACTCTGACCAGTACCAACTTGGGGAGGAAAGGGTTTGTCTTACATCTCCCAGGTTGCAGTTCATCAGGGAGCCCAAGGTAGGAATTCAGGGCAGGAACCTGGAGGCAGGAGCTGGAGCACAGGTCATGGAGGAACACTGCTTACTGGCTTGCTCCCCTGGTCCCTGCTCAGCCTGCTTTCTTATGCAACACAGGCCCACCTGCCCAGGGGTGGCACCATCCACATGGGCTGGGCTCTCCCACATCACTCATCAAGAAGATGCCCCTCAGACATGGCCACAAGCCAGTCCAATAGAGGCAATTCCCCAATTGAGGCTCCCTCAACCCAGGTGTGTCAAGTTGACACTAAAGCTATCCAGCACAATACGGCAGAGTGCTTTTCTAACAAATGCAAGGCCTTGGGTTAGATTTAGCACCTCCTTCCTCCTCCCCTCAAAAACAAAACAAAAACAAAAACATCTTTGAGAGTCCTCTGGAAGATCATGGGTTTGAGACTATCTGGATTATATAGTTCCAAGACAGCCTGGGTTACATAGTGAGACCCTGTCTCAAAACAAACAAACAAAAATTAAGAGCCAGGTGTGGTGGCCCACACCTGTCCAAGCACTCGGGAGGCAGAGGCAGAGGCAGGTGGATCTCTGGGAGTTTAAGACCAGCCTGGTCTACTTAGTGAGGTCCAGATCAGCTGGGACTACAGGGAGACCTGTGGCAAAAAAAAAAAAAAAAAAAAAAAATAAAAAAAAAAAAAAAAAAAAATTAAAGAAAGAAAAAGAAGAAATTAAGGAAAGAAAAAAGAAAGTGCC